TTTAGGAGCACTGCTTACTCAAGAAGGCAGAGTTATCAGTTATGCAAATCGTGCACTTTCCAGTGTAGAATCCCGCTATTCACAAACTGAACGCGAGATGTTAACCTTTATATGGGCTATCGAACACTATCATCTTTACCTCTATGGCGCTAAGTTTATTGTCATCACCGACCACAAGCCGCTACTCGGAATCTTCAAAAGTCAGAAACCGACTTCAGCGAGAATCGACCGCTGGAAACTAAGACTGATGCCCTATGATTGCGAAGTTGTTTACATACCAGGGAAAGATGCAGAAAACCCTGCCGACTTTCTCAGCCGTCACCCCAACCCTGTTGTTTCTTCGCCCACCAACAACACCACCGAAGCCTATATCAACTATTTGTGCATCAACCTCATCCCCAAAGCTATGAAACTCGACGAAGTGAAGAAAGAAACTGCTAACGACCCAGTCCTTTGCAAGCTTTCTGAAGCAATCACATACAACCGATGGCTCGATCCTGAAGTGAAACCGTTCGTTAACGTAAAGGACGAACTGTCTGTCTGCAATGGATTAATCGCCAGAAACCACCGCCTGGTGCTACCTCATTCACTGCAGAGCCAAGCCATAGATCTTGCACACGTAGGCCACCAAGGCATAGTCAAAACGAAAATGCTACTTCGTGAAAAGGTCTGGTTCCCCTCCATAGATAAGATGGTGGAACAGAAAGTGAAGACGTGCCTGCCGTGCCAAGCAGCAACCACAAGTACCCATCGACATCCAGAACCCTTGATCATGACACCGCTGCACGACGCACCATGGCAAGAGGTTGCTGTCGACTTTGTTGGTCCGTTCCCATCAGGCGAGCTGCTACTCGTTGTCATCGACGAATTTAGCCGATTCCCCGAAGTAGAAATTGTCACCACTACGAGCGCAAAAGCTGTCATCCCAAAGCTGGATAACATATTTTCCCGCCAAGGTGTTCCTGTTGTTCTTAAAAGTGATAATGGTCCGCCATTTAACAGCTCGGAATTTGAACAATTTGCCAGTTACCTTGGTTTCGAACATCGCAAAATCACTCCGTACTGGCCAAAGGCGAATGGAGAAGTGGAACGGTTTATGCGCATCATTGAAAAAGCCATACGTACAGCACACATCGAGAAGAAGAATTGGAAACAAGCTTTGTATCAATTTCTCCGCCAGTACAGAGCCACACCGCACAGCACGACGAATGTGTCACCATCCGAGGCCCTGAACAATCGAAAGTTGAAGATACCACTTCCGAGTATTCCAAAAACTCTGCAACAAGAAACCCAAGATCCAATGCGAAAACGAGATCAAGAAAAGAAAGAAAAGATGAAGAAATACTCAGATCATCGACAACACTCGAGAACAACTGACCTGAAGATAGGAGACACAGTCCTGATCCGCCAACCAAAGAAGAACAAGCTTACCCCACCATTTAACCCCAAACCATTCACTGTTGAAGCTCGGAAAGGAACTATGGTTACCGCCAAACGTGGTTCGAAGAAGATAACACGCAACATATCCTTCTTCAAAAAGATTGATAATCGTGTAACGGATAGTTCAGATGACGAAGATAATGATGACGATTTTGATTGCGACCGAACCAACGAAGACCAACTCAATCAAGAACCTGTTCATTTACGAAAATCCCAGCGAGAAAGAAGACAACCAAATAGACTTGGATTTGAACATTGAACCATCAATGACTATAGACACATATTGCATGTTAACAGTTGAAATTTGTTTCAGTTTAAATTCCTATTGTCGTTACGGACAGAGGAGACATTTTGAATAACATATAACGTGAAGAACAGAGAACCTATACTAATGTGGGGAGGGATGTAATATAGCTAATTAATATGCTAATAACTAATCCAAATAAGAATAACTAATCAGTATTCAATATATAGTTCACAAATTAACACTATAACACGCGTTTATCTCGTTTTATTGAGTCTTAAACACTACAATAATCATGATCGTTTTGTGCTGGTGTTGTGTACTCAGGTGAATATGATATTTGTGATGCTACTCTGAGTGTGTATCCACATCGAGCAAGCTTGAAAAATATACCTGGCCACGGTGGGAATCGATCCTGAGACCTTTGGAGTACTAGACCAATGCTCTGCCAACTGAGCTACGCGGTCAAGTCGGTTCGAGTATGTGATATTTCGGAACTGTGTCTAGTTCCTTCGACATCATGTAATCTAATAATCATGATTTTTAGAGCATTGGGCTAGTACTCCAAAGGTCGCAGGTTGGATTCCCACCGTGGCCAGACATATTTTTCAAGCTTGCCCGTTATGGATACACACTCAGAGTAACATCACAAATATAATATTCACCTGAGTACACAACAGCAACACAAAAAAATCATGATTATTAGATTACATGATGTCGAAGGAACTAGACTCAGTTCCGAAATATCACATACTCGAACCGACCTGGCCGCGTTGCTCAGTTGGCAGAGCATTGGGCTAGTACTCCCACCGTGGCCAGGCATATTTTTCAAGCTTGCCCGGTGTGGATACACACTCAGAGTAACATCACAAATATCATATTCGTGCACAACACAAACACAAAAAAATCATGCATATGGTTTGCTCAAAAATACCTGTGAAATGCTGTTTCCATGTGACAATAGTGAGTTGGGAAATGAAACGGAAATTTAAATAAATGAAGACGTGCTCATCAGCAAAGCAATCTTACTCTGTTTTATGACGACAGCTGCTATTTTTCGAATCGGTGTGTACAAGTTTCCATAATTTTGAGGTTTCGTCATGTGTTGCCTAATTGCAATACTTTAAGAAATCCATCAGTCTCAATAAGTTTTGCTATTTTTTTCAGTTATATGTACTGGTCAGACTGGGGATCTCATCCTCGACTGGAACGTGCCTGGCTGGATGGCACGCATCGTGAAGTATTGGTCAGCACTTCTATTCAATGGCCCAATGGTCTAGCTCTAGACTATATAGAACGTAAAATATACTGGGCTGATGCAAAACTTGATAAAATTGAAGTATGTAATTTAAATGGGAGTGGTAGACGTGTACTACTTGATAAAGAAGTGCCTCATATCTATGGTTTTGGTCTTATTGGGAAACACCTATATTGGACGGATTGGCAACGGCGTAATCTTCAGAAGCTTCATGTTGATAGCTTACAAAACAAAGATATTGCTGAATTTCCTGCTGTGATGGGACTCAAAGTTGTTGATATGAGACTCAAATATGGTAAGTGCACCATGAATTACTGGAAGTTATTTCGTTGTGATTTTTAACTGTTGAGGCCGTCATAATCGAATGACTAGCTTTTTTTTTGTTAGCAAATCTTTGGTTATTTTTTAGTTGATCTTGTTTTCTCTACTTTGAAGATATTAGCTAATATTCTGCTAATGAAGAGCCAATGAGATCGCAGAATAACTCGTGTCCGGTAGTTGCCTATATAATAATGTGTACTGTAATATAATGTACAATAATAATAAATAAATAATAAAATATGACTTTAATATCTAAATTCCAAGACGCTGCATGTGCTAATGCTTATTTTATTGTCGTGTGAACCAGTCTTTTTTATTCCATGAAAGGTAAAGCATTTTCCTATTTTTTGATCAGGTGACAACGACTGTCAAGAGAACAATGGTAACTGTTCTCACCTGTGTTTGTATACACCAGTTGGAGTGAAATGTGAATGTCCAATGGGACTGGAAATGACTAAAGATAATATGACATGTGTTGGTAAGTACAGTACAATGTGTTGGTAACCTCTCCACCTAACGCCGCTTTACGCAGGATAGACATTTTTACATCATTCTTAACTAAACATACATTTTAAAGTATATTTAATTTCGACGATAGGCCTTCCGAAATTTTACAGATATAGAAAATATAGTGGGCAAATGAAATACATATTGGGCGAAAAATTAAGCGATTAGGCGTTTTAGTCAGTTACACGACTATTCCAAACCAAATTGGCTACCAAATTTGCTGTTTCTATGATGTTAGGTGGATTTACTGTAGATATATTCAATCTTGTTTAGTTTATTTAGCTCCAGAAGCCTTCTCTTTTGCATGAAACGTATTCGTCGTTTCTTTAATTTCTTCTCTTCGTGTTTTTTTTTCTCCGCCTCCTCCGGTTTACCTCCCTCAGCAAAACTATCCCTTATTGAATTTCTCACTCAGTCCAATATCTATTCTGTGTCATTGGTGAGCGGATTTCCGTATTGCCTAATTGATAGGGATCCGAGGTACCTACGATTTTAACATCCTTATTCGAGTAGATACGGAAGTCTAACCATTTACTGATGTTAATGTAAAGGTAGCTCTTTATCCTCATTATTTTAAGACCTTGAGTAGACGTCCGACCAAGGATTGAATCCGGGTCTACCAAGTGGGAAAACATACCTGGTGTGATGGACTTCAAATAACCCATAATCTAATTTCTTGTAGTTCTTGAAGCGTTTCCGTTCTTCGTTTCTGTTTTGCTTCAAAGCAAAGCAAAACAAAGCAAAGCAAAGCAAAACGCGACATTATGTTGTGTCATATTCATGTTTTGTTGTACATTACAAGCTCATGCGCGATTTCCCTGCCAATGTCACAATTACTGTCAAAAGCCAACAAGACACTGGGTCTCATTAAAAGGAGAAGCAGGGGCATAACTGATTTCACTACAAGGAGATTATTGTACTGCACCCTCGTCAGACCCAAGTTAGAGTATGCTAGTAAGGTAGTAACGTGTGGTTACCCAGCGCCGTTAAACATCGACCATTAATTGAGAACGTTTAGCGGAGAGCAACGAAGACCAACGAAGTTCATTCTAAGTTACCCAAAGATTGATCACAACCAACCTCCTTCCGTTAGAATTCCGCAGGGAGATCACGGACTTGATGTTACTGTACAAGTCAAAAACCGGAGTCATGGACGTTAATAACTTTTTTGCTCGTACGAGCCTGGTTTTAGATCTCGCAATTGTAATGAAAATAATTACTATTTCCTCTTAAAACATAAACAGCAGTACTTTAGAAACTCGTTCTTTGTCAGATTTGCAAGTCTGCGAGACCTAAAAATCTGTGGTTTGCTCAACTCTTTCAAAATTAGTATACGTAAACATTATGTATATAAGTTAACTTCTCACAGCCCTCCTGGCTTTACTTAGATCTATAAGTTATAAAAAGTTATTTGTGTAACGTACTGTATTAACGTGCTTGGCTTCTTGTTGTTTACTTGATCTCATGGCCTTCCTGAGACTCCTTATGATTTTTTACAAAATAAGTATTAGGTTAGGCTAGTTATTTGTTCGAGAAATAGTTAGAAATATTGATATTCGCTTACAAATGACTATAATTTCTATGTGTACCTGCAGTACTTTTATCACGAAATCATGAGGAAAGTCATTGTGCTCGGTGTTCAACAAGCAGCAAAGTCTAGTTATAATGTTGGGGTCAGGTATCAATTGGGACGCAAGTCCTGTTCCTTTCCCCAGTCACACTTGTGTCCTCGTTTATTGTAGATGTATGCGTAATGATTGTGTTGTGACAAATGATTAAATTAAATTAAATTGGCTAAAAATATTCTTAAAGCAATGAAGATGTATATTTTTATTTAAGACGCTCTGATCCAATGCCCTGTTAAGGCCACAAAACACAACAACCCGAACGATTTTTATTATCAAGCGACGTATTTCACATCTGGACGGTTTTACGTGAGCGAAATAGAAGTTCTGAATTTTCGACCTGTTTACAGTAACGTGTGAATTTGATCGACGATAAGATTTTTTGAGTAATACAACCGAATGAGGGATAAAAAACATCGACAGGGTGTTCTGCAAAAAATATACCTTTTGAAATTTTCCTATTGTAATAATTTGAATGCATAATTACTGAACCTACGGAAGCGTAAGATACAGGGTGTATTGAAAACCAGACTTTCATAAATAACTCCATTCTTGTTAAGTACAAGATTTTCTACCTCTTGGAATTAAAAATAGCTTCTAATCGTACGAAGAAACATAACTACGGAAAAATTTTGGTCGTGTCGAATGCAGTTAAGACAATAGATAATGAGATGATAAACCTCATTAAGCTGATAAACCTCAGAAATACATGCATGCAGTAACCCCTCGCCAATATTTTCCAAACATTAAATTAACATGAAGTATTCAGAAATGGCCAACACTGAACGCAGGCTCGCGTTCAAGTGTTGCCATGACAACACGATATTCTTTAATTTTTAATTTTTTCATATTTTTTGTACAAAACTGCAAAATAGTTGAAACATTCGTACTTTTAACTATACAACAATAAATTTCCGAAATATACAGGGTGTATCAAAAAAAGCGCAATCCTCGACTGAAATGTAAATTGCTAAACAAATAATAGACGAAAACGTTAAAGTTTACATTCATTTTAAAGCGTAGCCATTCAGCTTTCTAACAGTGGGTTGTTTCTTAAATTTGACTCATTGGTTCGCGGGTAATAATACTTTACGTTATTGCGATTGGAGATTAAAAAAATTGAGATGGAATAACTAAACGTTCTCATGAAAATAACTGATTTTTTCATTAAAACAAAAAAATGTTGCATTTTATTAAATGGATTGTAACAATAAGTATAATTACGGCTTTTCTTCCACTATTTTAACTCAGTTTGAAACTTCAAATGCGATATAATTTTGGCTTGGACCATCTAAGCTGACTGACATCAACTTGCTATAATTTCTGTTTACATTACATCGCAATTCGATGACACTCTGGCTCAGACACCAGAATGTTTTGACGATTTTTAGCATTCGTTTAGGATTTTCAAACAACCTGGTCTCTTTTAAAATACTTTTAATTTGTTCTTATACGTGGTTTTCCAGATGTAGTGACGACAACATTAAAGTTTAAAGAAGAAAATTCTAACATTTAAACCGACTAAACAATAACATAGTAAACTTGCATAATTAAACAGCAACTAAAAATGATAGGTTTTACTAAATCTTTTCCTGTGCAATTATTACTAGCATTGGAGACAAGGATAATAGTTTGTTTGAAAGAGAAAAGAACAGGTTTTGAAGTAAGCCTAACAGCGTTTAACTATAGAAATAGTATTTCGAAAGTTATTAAGCACAAAAGATGAATTGCGTTTATTTTGATACACCCTGTATACTGTCGGTATATTATTTTGCATTTTGTGAGCCTTGATTTAATGTAAAATTTAACTTGAAACGCTTCGGTAAAATGTTTTGAAATGTTCATTCAACTAAGTTCAACTAAACTACATTTGCCGATAAACTGTTTTTAATTAATAAAACATAATAAGTTTAATACAAATAAAACAAATTATTATATATAAATAGTCAAAGTCGTATTTTTCTAGTGTTTTATTGGTTGAGAGCATATCACGTGAGAGTGACGAAATTAGGCTGTCTCCCTCGCAACAGCGCGAGAGGGAGATAATACGTTATCGACCGGCGAATAACAAAATCACGTGCGACATCACGTGAAGATGCGACCTTTGGACATGCCTAGTACGTAATTAAAACTTTCGCTTTAAGTAACTGCAGTGTAGCCAGTGTTTAATATAACGTTTTAACAATAAAATATTTCATGTATTTACGTTCATTTGTTCTTTAATTTGTTGTTTCTTTGACTATTGATATATAATAAAACACTTATTTACTGAGACCTCGGGAAAGCAGTGTGTTTTGTGGACCCTCGACCGTCGATGTTTCCCTCGACTTCGCCTCGGGAAATATCGACGGTCTCGGGTCCACAAAACACACTGTTTCCCTCGGTCTCAGTAAATAAGTGATAATTGTTAGGTAATTTCAGTTCAGTCTTCAAATCAATGTGTTCTCCTTTACATTTTAAGATTTTTTCTCAAATTAAACGGTAATTAATGAAACTTAGAGCTTTGTTAAAAAAGGAAAACAGATGAACTGTTTCATGTTTTTAGGCAAAAAGTAATTAAAGCAACAAAATTCGTAAACATTAAATATTCAAAGCAAACACGATTTCCCATAGTAAATCAATTACTTCTTCTCATTTCTTCAAACAAAATTTCTTCAAGCTTGTTGTATATGAAACGATTTTCCAAATATATGTCTTTTAAAATTGAAATCTTGCTTACCCACTCCTACAAGCAATCAGCCATATTTTTGAGATCAGTGAGGATGACCACCCACTCAACACCGTTGGTGAGCCACGCCCGCGATCATTGATGAACTTTAGACTTCGCTAATGCTTTCGTTTCCCCGGGTGTAAATAGCCGGGGGGAATTAGTACCCTCGCCCCGGGCTTACGCCCGGAACGGCGCTCCGCGCCGTTGGCTCGGGGAACATAACTTCTATGAGAAAGTGCTAATCAACTACATTATATTAATTGTTTTCTTTGTTTATAGTTGTCTCGCTCAGGCTTTTATACTCAGAGAGAAGGAATATTCGCTTGCTGCATGTTGACGGGGACCGACGTAGTCAAAACAATTTTACAACTACTTTGCTAGCGAAGAATCTGGTGAATGCGATAGCCGTGGCATTTCATTATCAAGATCAAATCCTATTCTGGACTGATGTTTCTCTGGGAAAAATATTACGCAAATCTATAAAAGACAGTATAGTTGAAACAGTTGTATCTGTTGGTTTAGTCCGACCCGAAGGAATTGCGATTGATTGGGTCACAAAGAAGATTTACTGGACTGACTCACACTTGAAATTAATCGAAGTTGTGAATTTTGATGGCACGCAACGTTCTGTGTTAGTTTGGAAAAAATTAGGCAAACCGAGAGCTATTGTTGTTGATCCTAGCCATGGGTAAGTCACATTTCTTTATTACTAAAGACCAGTGACCAATGACCTCCACAAGTGAGATCATTCAACACTCCGCCCCCCCCCCCCACCTGACAAAGGGGCATCTGTATTAATCACAATATTTGGTGATCCATGACTGACCTCATTGTAGGAAGTAGGGAGTGATGCTATCCACCAGTGAAGGTCTCCACTAGCCCTCGGTGACACCTTTATATAACTATCGAAATTGCCTCTACATAATTTAAGAGTTATGACCTAATAATGTTCCAAAGCCCGATAATACAAAGGGCCAAACATAACTCTAGGAAAACTGGATACCAGGAGCCCAATTACACGAGAAACCTCACGAATAGAAACCCTATTGCTTTTGTTTAAAAGTAAGGTACATGCACTCATAATTTTTTCTACTTTCGGTAATGTTAGAGTTGTTCTCATAAGAATGGAGTGGAGTAGGAACCCACAAAACTTTTTGGTTCAAATAGGGTGGAGAACAGGTCAACTGTATCCACCACATTACAGGCACAATCATCATATGTATACGTATTGCCCTGCAAACAGGCATCATCAATATAGCCTGAAGAAACATGACTTCTTTTCAGCAAAACTGTATAAACAGGTTTAAGTAGCTTTGTAAACTTTCGAGGACAGCTAGAAAGGCCATTGGGAAGGCATGTGCTTTGGTATAATTGTCTCTTCCAAATGAATTTCAATATTTTGTGACTGGATGGTGACACTAGTACTGAGTAATAGGCATCTTTGTGGTCCACATATGCCATAAAGCAGCTTGGAGTCATATCCAAAATGAAATGGTGATATTTCACACAAGTGTCTTAAATTTCAATTTAAAATTATGCGATGAGTGCCATCTTTTTTGGGGCACACAGAAATTGGTGATATAATCTCGCTCTTTTCATGGCATGATGGCACGATTACGCGTTTAGTAATAAGCTTAGATATTTCAAGATCAATAACCTTTTTATCGAACGGCCTAAATTCATAATTTGACCGATTATTATGAGGAGGGGGTCCCTCTGTCAATTCAATAGTATAACCATTGACCACATCTAAAATGTCTGGGTGACTGGGTCAGATCTGGAATCTTTCTCCATTCGTCAATGCACTGATAAATTCTATTCTCCCAGCTTCAAAACAATTAACTTTTTGATGTAAGTCCTTTATTAAAATACCAACACAATGTTTATAGGCTTTATAAGGACTAACCATAACAATTGAGTTTTGGTCCATTTTGTTCAGCTCTTGATCCTACTGGCGTTGCTTTTGTGAAAACGGTTTGAGAAACCATGGCTTGTTGTTCTGCCATAGTTTCTTTTTGGATAAAAAAGGCCTCCGTGGAGACTCGCTGAAGGGACGTGATGGCTGCATACTGTAGGTTACCTTCTGTTAATATTATCCCGACCTTTATTAGCCAGGGTTGACTGGCGGAGTTTATTTGTGGTTTTAATATTATTGCACTCAGTTTGCAAATCGTCGCCAAATAGGTTGGCAGTCAGCCTCGTCCAGTCGTCCCAGGCGCTTTGATGTGCTAAACTGGTTTCGTGACGCAAGTGCGGGAATCGAGGTGCGTTGCTCACTACGGGACGCGGAAGCGCCTCCCAGAAAACGTGTCGACTTCTGACATTTCTGTCGATTTCTGAACATCCAAAGCCAATTTCTGCATCTCTATTGTTTTGACAATATTGTCATGACCAATTTTGTTGTTTTGAGCAACAAAATATCCTCCCGGTATAACTGAGATGTTGCTTGTTCAAGTGAGATGTTGCCTTCTTCTGGTCTCTGAGCCAGTCAGGTTGTCCATACAGATTGAAAGGAATTTCCACTATAAAAATATTAAAATAACCACACAGTGAGGTCTCGCTTACTGGGCTAGCTGTCGCATTAACAGCCCTTAGTATTCTCTGGGACACCAGAAACATGGCAGGACCAGAAACGATTTAAAGGGGCAGTGTCACGGCGCTGATTGGCTAAAATAAACGGCGCAAAGAAACGTTTAAAATTAATGCCACATGATTGGAAACGATGCAGCAGCCTTCAATTTTTAAAACAAAGCAAGGATTTCCTGTATAACGAAGGGATTATAAATAGTATATCGTATTTCACTCCTAACTTGATTAATTGTTGGCAGACAACAATTTTGCGCATTTTCGACAACAATTCAAGTTCGCGCATATTTTGGATGCGCAGTAGAACCATGACACTGCCCCTTTGATAACTTAATACACATGCAACAAACTATCAGAGAGTACATAACCTACAATCCTAGATATAAAACATGCCTTCTCACTTCTCAGATCAGCTGCCCCTAGCAGCTGAGCTCTGTCCTGCACCAGTTCAGTGAGTTCACCACAAGCTCATGATGTATGCATAACAAAACCCTTGACTAAATATGTAAAACCTTAATTCCCAATTTAATATACTAGCACATCATAGTTTCATCTCTTGATATACCTGTACTGTCCAACCATTTACTTTCGGGATTGAGGGATGAAATTATCGCATAAAGTTACAGTAAATACAAAAAGGTTTCATATCTACAAACACATATAAATATTTGTGGCTTATTTTTTAAAAAATAATGTCTACCACTTATTTCCAACATGTTTTCATGAATTCCATGAAATACTAGAATAGTAATTTGAATTTTAAAATGTTTACTTGTTTATACTGACCATCTTCAGTATCGTTGTCAAGACAAAATGCAAATCACTTGTTTGTCTGCCATCTTGAAAGCATTTTCTCCCAGGCGCTTCGCTCCGAATTTTCTCTTCCCCCCCACGCGTGTCCTCCCGCGCGCGCGTCACGCAACATGAAAGCCAATCAAAGCGCCTGGGTACGAAGCTGGTTGGCAGTGACTGGTACCTGCTCTGAACATAGAGCAGCAAACTCTTTATTAAGATTTGGTTTGATAGCTTCTCTGCGATGATGGGACAAATCAACAAAGGCATGTCCCAAAATTGCCATAATCTCCATATTAGATTTGATGAATTTGATTGGGTCCACTTGCCATTTTGCCGTGAGTGAAGGAGCTTATTGGTGGTATAAATTAAAGAGCTCCCTGCTTTTGCCATTTTCCTCTGAACATTACTAGTTCGCAGATCCCTGCGCTTATTAAACTTGTCAAGGTTTAACCAAATTTCTGAATTAACTCGAGGCAGACCTGAGCAATTTTTAGACGTTGAATTAACTCCAGTTTGTCGGATAGATTTTTAACTGACATTTTTGTAGCCCATCGCTTGTTAAAAATGGTTGCCAATTCTTCATTCACTACAGGACCCGTAGATTCATGTTGGGATAAATCTTGGGCAATATCGGACAGCAAGCTGTCCGTATCTCCAGGTATATTCTTTGCTGGTTTGTCAGCTGGGTTTGACAACACTTTATTTATTAAAACCTATTCGTTGTCCTCATCCTTACTAAGCTTTCGCTTACGACCGCCATGTTTTGATGCCAATTCCGTGTTATGTACGACCTCGTTGTCGTTGCTCTGGCCTTTTTCTGCTCGATCAAGACGAAATTTAGAACTCCGCATATCGGTGTGCATCTCTCGAAGAAGAAGATACATATCCACAGAGCTTGGATCGTATGACACTATTAATATTTCAATGACACTATTAAGCTCCCCGTTCTTAACTATATATATATATATCAGTATTTGTAACTTGACACTAATCTGTCCTGATGATGACTAAAATATAGTCGAAACGTAGATTCATTAAAGCTACAAAATGTTATTTGGAGTAACTGTCCTTTTGTATTTTATTAAAATACTCAGTGGTCCCCGTAACTATTGGCTCGTGTGTTTCACCGAGAAATTCTCTCTCTAAATTTTCTTCGACTTATTCTTCGCCGGCCAGGTTGTCGCCAGACAAGACTTTCGTATTTTTGGGCAAGGTATCGCCTGAAGTTTGTGTCTGAGGTTCAGACATCCTGTTACAGGATTAAGGTCTTTAATATTCAACAACAGAAGGGTTTCTTGTGCGGAAGACAATTGGTAAGAAGTGCTTTTGATATACACACAACCAAGGTGAAGCAAAGCAGACGTACACTGGTGTGAGCAGGTGCGTGCTATCTCGTGTGACTCCGTCACGACGTCACCATGCAGTAACGAAATAGAATTTGAATAATAAACAATCTTTCATAGCATGCTAGATTCGTCAGTATTTCCTTTCAGATAACTTTGATCATGATTTAAGTTTTTTAGATATTTAGTAGCGCTATAATAAGTTGAGTCATTTGGTGTACATAGCTTTTAAAATTTCTTTTCATAAACGGTTATTGACTAGAAATACATGCATGCAGAAACCCCTCGCCTTGCTTGCAAAACCATTATATTTTCCGAACGTGAAGGATTTAAAGTCGTTGTCATCATGGCAATATGATAATTTTATTAAGAACATTTTTAAATGTCACTTGTCTTTTAATTACAAAACTATTAATTTTCCAAAAAATATATATGTTGGGTATATGTTATTGTACGATATTATGTCTACTATAAGCTTCAATTTAATGTAAAATTCAACCACAAACGCTCCGCAAAATGTTTTAAAATGTTCTTAAAACTAAACTACCTTTTATCGATAAACTTTGAGTTTGAAATTAAATGAAAACAATACATCAATATTTCAAACAAACTTACCTTCATTGGGTTTTACAATTTCCAGCAAACTGTTGACCCATTAATTTTTTAATTTTCTCAAAAGAAACCGCATAAAAGACTCAAAAACGTTGCAAAATCTTTTCCAAAGCAGATATATTAATAACTTACTGACCGAGAGTGAGGGCAGTACGGGAAAATATCCAACCGAGGTCTTGCCGTATTGACCGAGCGATAGCGAGGTCAATACAGCAAGACCGAGGTTGGATATTTTCACGTACTGCCCGAACAGTTGAGGTCAGTAAGTTTTTTTTATTATATGGCATTGTACGTTTGTAAAAAATGGGGAAAGGTCACGTGAGGGCAAATTAAGACAAAGTAAATGTACAAA